GCCCCCACCGGTCCCGTCCATCCACGCGGAACACCCTTCCCCGCGCTCTCGCCCCTCCCTCCCCACAGAACAGCTTCCCCTCTCCACCGACCCCTCTCCCCCACCCCTCGGAACAGCCATCCCCACCCCCACCGGCCCCTCTGACCACTCTCCCTGCTCCCAAAGACCCCTTACCCCCCACCCACCGACTGTTCTCCCCACACTGACCGCTCTCCCTCCTTCTCATTAAGCTCCCCCTTCTGTGATCACTCCCCCCACCCACGGTGCAAACTCCCTTCCACTCTGCAATTCTCCCTCTCTGCAAACTGCCTCCCATTCTCCTTCCCCACTCACTGAGGTCCCCCCTCACTGATCGCTCTCTCCTCACACACGGAGCCCTCCCTTCCCCACACTGATCACTCTCCTACCCAACAGAGTCCCCCCCACCCCCGCCCCGCCCCACACCCAGGATTCTCCTCCCATCAGGGAGCTCTCTCTCCTCCCTCACTTGCCCGCCCCCACCGATCACTCTCCCTCCACACCAGGGAACACACTCTTCCACACTGATTTCACTCCCCACGCCCCTATCCCAGCCCTTTCCCTGCTCAGGAAACCTTCCCCCGCGCCACCAACTCACGCATCACCTCTTCCCGCTCACTAACCCTTCTCTCCTGCATAGAACTCCTCCCCCTACTGAATCCCTTTCCCTCCCCTGAGCCCACTTTGTCCCTAGCTGAGCCCCCTCCCTGTCACCCGCACCCTCTTCCGGCGGGCGCCCCCCGCCCCCGCCCGGGGGGGGGGGGGGGGGGCCCGGGGGGCCGGGGCGGCCCGGGCGCCCGCGGCCCGCCCCCCCCCCCCCCCCCCCCCCCGCCCCAGCCCACTTTCTCCCTAGCTAAGCCCCTGTCGCCGTGCCTCTCCAGGACCAAGGAGCGGCCCCCGCGCGCTCGGCCGGCCAGCACCTCCCCGTCCCCGGGCGCGCACGGCAGGCACGGCGGCCCGGAGGGGAAGAGCTCGTCGCGCAGCCCGGGCCCCCACCCGCGCTCGTGGAGCTCCAGCCGCTCGCCCTCCAAGTCCCGCTCGCGCTCCGCGGAGAAGAGGACCCGCAGCCCCAGCCGCTCGCCGTCGCCCAAGAAAAACCTGGGCCGGTAAGTGCGGGCCCGGGGGTCCCCGCCGGGCGCTGGGGTGGCGGCGGGGCCGGGGCCGGGGCTGGCCGGGCCGCGTCGCTCACCTCGGCCGGGCCCGCAGGGACAAGGACGGCGAAGGCCGCGCGAGGCACGCCGAGGCCGAGGCCGCCCGCGCCCGGCGCCGCTCCCGCAGCTACTCGCCCATCCGCAAGCGGCGCCGGGACTCGCCCAGCTTCATGGAGCCGCGGCGCATCACCAGGTACGGAGGGGCCCCGGCCGGCCCGCTGGGGACCTCCAGGGGAACGGACTGAACCCGGTGCGGGAGGAGAGGTGTCGTTCTGGTGGGGGCGGGGGAGGGGGGAGGAAGAGGCCCCTGGAGGAGGAGAGGGGGCAGAACTGGAGGTGCTGGGGAGGTGGGACTCAGAGGCAGGGGTCTGAAGGCCCACGGAGGGGAGGGGGCTGTGCGCTCGGGTCTGGGTAGGCAGCAGCAGGCATGGAGTTCAGCTCCGGAAGATTCCAGCCATCCCTCCTGGAGCCCCTCCCTCTCTCCTTCCTCCCCACATCCATCTCCTGGCAATGATGTCTCCTTTTCTCCTTCATCTCAAGGTCCAGCCTGCCGAGTGGCCTGTGGCCGGCCTGGGGGCCGAGGGGACCCCCTCCCCACAGGCTGCAGGGGAGATGCCCATGTGAGCTGATCTGGCTCTGTTCAGCTGTCATCTGTCTGCCTCTCCTTTTCTCACTAACCTCACTGCTCACCTCCCAGCCCCCTGGGGAATTTGGAGGAGGGGGCACCAGCGGCCTACCCTCTGGGGCAGCTGTGGGAGGTCCCATCCCTTCCACTGCCCCTCTCAGTCCTATGGGGCTGTGCAGAGGGTGTGGCTGATGTGACAGAAGCCCCATCAGAAAGCTTCTTTGGCCCAGACCGGTGGGCGTGGGCCTGGGCCTCCGGGTGAGATTATGGTCTGTGTTCGTGGAAATCACTCTGCTAGCCCTAGACCCCTGACATGGGGTAGAGGGCTACAGGCAAAATTCTGAACCCAGCTCTGAGACTTTGCTGGGCAGCCTTGGGAGATCAGTGTGCCTCTCTGGGGCTCGGTTCTCATGTCTGAACAATAAGCAGGGCTCCCTGAGCATCTTTTCAGCTCTAACATGGACTGATTCTCTAACCAGCCCTTCCAAGTCCCTGGTGATCCAGATCGCCATACGCAGAGGGTCCTAAGACAGCTGGAGCCCTGCACCTTCCACCTGGCACCCACCTCGGCCCCTCTCCCGGGCTGCCTCCTCCTCCATCCACTAACGTACACCTGTTTTCTTCCTCAGAATTAACCCCACGCCATGGGGCACTGTTGCCCCCTTAACCACTCTCCTTTCTTTTCTCTGGGTCACAGCTTCCTGGCTTCAAACTAACTCCGGGCCGGCGGGAGGTAGCTGAGTGAGGAGAAGGGGCCGGCGGGACTGGGCTGGGCCATGGGCATGGGCAGCGATGGCCGGGGGGGTCTCCTCCTTGTTCCCTTGAAGTGACCTGAAAAACCAAATCCTTCGATTCTGTGAGGAAGAGAGAAGCAGGGCTGGGCTATATCCACAACCGTTCCCATGCACAGAAACCACTACTTAGCTTGGTTGACGCGAGTTGTCTATATTTAAAAGTTTCATTTATTCAACAAATTGTTGAGCGCCTACTCCGGTCAAGCAGAGACTGGGTCCCCTTTCCCTAAAGACAAGTGAGCAAAAAACAAAAGGTCCAACATGAAATTGGCAAGTGACCACTGACTGCCTGATCCTTTTGGGGTAGAGGGCACTCCAAGGCCAGAGCTCAGGGGAAACTGAGGCAGGAAAGCCCTGGCCACTGCTGGGGAAGCCCTGGCCTGAGTGAGGGGCCAAGCTAGAGCCTGGGGCAGAGCTCAGGGACTCGAATGGCCTGTAATCAGCTTTTCCCTCCTGGCAGTGCCCGAAAGCGTCCCATCCCCTACTACCGGCCCAGCCCCTCGTCCTCCTCCAGCTGCCTGAGCAGCGACTACTCAAGCCGGAGCCCCAGCCGCAGCCCCAGTCCCGGTCACAGCCACGGAAGCTACAGCAGCCGCAGCCGCGGGACCCGCAGCCGCACGCGCAGCCCCTCCCGGACCCCCAGTCCCAGCTACCACAGCCGGAGCAGCTCAGAGAGTGGGGGCTTCTGAGCCCGGACAGACCCAGCTTGGTGCCCCCTGGCATAGGGAGAGGCGAGGGGTCAGGCCCCAGGACCCGTGAGGGGGCCTGCACCCCACTGCTACAAGGGGGTCCCCGGGCCAGGGAAGACCTTGAGTGTGGGCGCCCTGCAGACAAGGAGGAGCTGGGTTCTGCTGCTTCTAGAGGGTCCCCACCCCCACCTCCTGCCTGCCCACCGTGTCCAGGGAACAAAGAGCCGTTGCGAACACAGGGATCGCCCTGTCCCCCTTCCTGCTTGATGCCAGCTCACCAGGCTGGGGACAGCTCGGTGGACCCAGGGACACCTCGGAAGGTGCCAGACCTGGAAGCCTCCCGCACCCACTCCACAGGGCCCTCGGCTCCTTTCTATCAACGCGCAGACGAGGAGGTGGGATGGCAGGCAGGATCTAAGTTAGACAGAAGGAAGAACGACCTAACCCTTGGTGCATCACCATCCAAGCTGGGGAGCGGCTTCCTTCTGAGCTGGCTGCAGGATCCTGGCTGATGGCTGGAGGCTGGCCCCACAGCCTCCCCCGACCCCTCCCCTGGCCCAGGAGGACCCAGACTAGGTGGGCCCCTAAGCCCCAGCCTGAGGAGCCGGGGAGCTTACTCTTGGTCCCACCTCTCCCTTCCAGGCCAGGCTCTCCCCTTTGGCCCTCACCCCATGCCCGGGGCCAAGGCCGCAGCAGCAGCCAGGCCTTCTGCATGACAAGAGATGGGAAGTATAGACTATGCTGCATCCGAGCCTGACATCAAAAGGGGTTCAGGTCAGAAGGTGAAGAGAGAAGAGGTAGATGGAAGAGAGCCTGTGAGGAGTGGGAGAAGGCAACGCAGTCCGATGACCGAGCAAGCCCTGGTGTCCCAGTGTGCCCTGTGTCTGGGACATGGGCCAGATGGCAGCACAGGGCCGCAGGTATAGGATAACAGGCACTTCGGGGCCTGCCCGAGGGAGCGCTTCCTTCTCGGGATTTGGTGGGGAGGTAGTCAGTGGAGGCTACCCAGAGAGGGGTGCTACAGCAAAGGGTAAGATCTAGATGCAGGGCCTCGGCCTGGGACCTCGAGTGGCACCCCCCCCCCCCAGCCCTCTTCTGCTGCTCCCAGCCCACTCCTCCTGGGGCCCTCAGGGATCTCACAAAGTCTTCCTTGGCCCAACAGGGCATCTGCCCTGGGCTCCCACAGGGGGGGAGGGGTCTGGGGTCTGGTCCGGGTTCCCCCTCTCTCTATTTTCCCCTCCCTCTTTCTCCGCGGTGCGGATAAAAATTGGACTCTAATAAACACTCGGTGCCCGGATGGCAGGTGGTGAGACTAGGTCTCTGTGGCTTTGGGCACCTGGGGAGTGTGGGGAGGGCATAAGGTCCTGGGGTCCTTCCCTCCAAGAAAGGAGAGGGTCGCGGACTCCACCCTAGAGAGGAGATCTGGCGGGAAGGAACCAGAACCCAGGGTGTCCATCTCCCTGCCTGAGTGCTGGAGCGGAGCGTGCAGCTCAGTGGGGAGGAAAACGGGGACCCAAGAAGACTTTCCTTTCAGCCTGGAGACCCCGTGGAATTTGAACACCCCCACCTCCCTCAAGCCCCACACCCCACCTAGCTTCCCCTCCCATCATTGTCCTTGACTCCAACACACCCCATCCAGCTGACCCACCTCCTCGGGCCCTCCATGCATGCCCTCTCCACCTCCAAACGTTCAGGTGAGCTCCTGGTTCAGGACCTAGCTCAGCTGCCTCCTACTCCGAGGAGCCTTCCCGATCTCCAGCTGCAATGCCCACTCTCACCTCTGGGTCCCTCCAGCTCTTTGGGGTCTGTACCTGCCTTTAGGTCCCTAAGCTCTTGTTCAGCTTATCTGTTGGCATGCCTATCTTTCCCTAAATCTATGAGTTTCTGGAGCCAGGCCATGCCTTCTTGGCCTCTGCATCTCCCAAATAAGCACCTTTGAGATGTCTGTCAACTGAGTAAACAAGTGAATCAGGGAGCCAGGGAGCGAGCGGTTCCAGAAACCTTGGGGGGGGGGGGGCATGAACCAAAGGCAAGGTGCGGTGGTGGCAGATAGACACTAGAGGGCGACAGAGAGAAAAGGAACATTTCCTGTTGGTGGCTGGCCAGTAGTGACACAAAACTGGCCTGAATGGAGAGGGAGCCCTGGGGGATGGTCTAGGTCAGCCTGGAAACCCCAAGCTTCTGTCCTCAGCACCCACCCCAGCTACTTGGGGAAACAGCGTCCAATCCCCGGGGAAGGAGGGGGAGAGGACAAAGCCCCTGCCCACCCACAGACTGAGGGTTCAGCCTAAACTCTGCTCTACAGCTTGGGAAAAGAGAAAAAAAATACCTCTAGGAAGGCAAGCAGGAAAATAGTAAACTCCAATTCTGCACCGGGTAGCAAGGGGTGGAGGGGATGGGGCGGGGGGAACCTCCCCAGGACATGGGCCTTTGGGGTGTCGTAGTCCTCTCCTGGTCTCTCTGCACATGGGGGCCTCAGGGACCCCTCTAACCTTGTGCTCCCAATACGGTAGCTGGGAGTCAGGCTGGGCAGGGCTTCCTGTGTTGCGTTCTGGTGGTGTTTTCTCTTCTTAATTGGTTTCCCGCAGTCCCAGACCCAGGGTAGCAAGTCACAAGAGTACATGCCCAGTTTGGGTGTCCCAGATAGCGTCTCCCATCCCCTGCCTCTCTGAGATGCTCTTGAAAGCCCCTTGGACTCGCACCGGCCTCTCGGCTGAGGGCGTGTTCAGCAAACAGGCCCGATCACAAGACACCTGCCCTTCCTTCACTAGGCCCCTCTCCTCCACTCAAGGACACCCAAGACATGAAGGCGCTCTGGCTGTAGGGCCTCCCACCTCCACAGACATCACAGGGGACGCCAGGTCCTCCCTCTCTGCCTCCCTCCACTCACCACACACACACCCCTTCCAGCGGTATTAGATGGCACAGCGGGCAGTGCGGAGGGGCTGGGGGAGTGAGGGCGAGTGGAGGAGAAACTGTTGATTCACCAAGCTGGAAGGAGCCTTCGAGAACATCCAGTCCAATGGTCTCATTGTACAGATGAAGAAAATGAGTCACGGGAGCCGGCTGCTGGCCAAGGTCACAGAGCCAGAGACAGTGCAGGTCCCCAGACTCCCAGACTAGACAGATTCCTTCTGCTAGACAGCAGGGCGGGAGGGGCCAGGGGATGGATCCCCAGCCCTCCCCACATGGCTCCTCCTTGGCCCCCTTTCAGTGGTGGTGGGGTGAGGTGACACCCAAGGTTAGCCAGAAGCCTAGGGGGTGGGCAGGTTGGAGAGATACTCCCAGAGGGGCAGTATCTAGATGCTTCCAGAAAGATCCAGTGCCCCCCACCCCCATGTGCTCTAATTACTGTTGCCCATATTTTTAATTCCCAGTAAGCCCAGCGACTGGTACAACCCATCAGCTGTCAGGCCTCTCCAGGGAGCTCGGGCAGCTGCCTGAAGACTCTCGAGCTTTCTCTAAGGCTGAGCCAGGGAGGGAGGGGCTGGCTCAGCCACAGTTGGCAAAGGCCTGTCAAAGGTGTGGCTAGTGTGGCCAAGGCCTTGGGCTCAGTGCCAGGCAAGGAGGCTCCGAGGCTGGCCTTGGGTTGCTGCAGAGTACCACAGACTTCGGGGCTAAGGATGAGGGGAGGGGCCCCTCTGATCAAGGAATCCCAGACCCTGCAGTGCCAACCTCCCCCACTGACTCCCCTTTTGGCTACTGGGAAATCTCTGGGGGTGGAGTTGTCCTCTTAATCCCAGAAAGCCTAGCCCTGGCAGCTCAGTGCCCAGAATGATACAGTAGAAGATTGTCAAAGAATATTTGGGCAGGTAGACAAGTAGGGGCTGACATTCAGCCTTTGCTTCCCTTGCCCTGTGCCCAGGGAATAACGGTGTGACCTCCCAAAAGGGGGACTGGTCAGGGTGGCAAGGGACTCCAGAGAGGCTGGCCCGACCTTCCCTCCCCCTTGGCTACACACCTCCCCCTGCACCCACAAGCTCACAGACCACAGCCCTCCCTGGACAGCTCGGAAAGTCTCTCCCCTCAGTCAGGAGGCTTGAGTTCCAATCCACTCCCCCCCCACCCCCTCCCGCCCCCTTACCAGCTTTGTGACCTTGGGGCAATTCTAACTCCGTTTTCTCATCTCAGAAACGAGACTTTGATAAGATACTTGGACCTGCTCTAGAATGCATACAACTGGGCAATTCACATTAGCCTAAATCTCAGTATCCAAAATGAAAGGACCTCTTTCCTTAATAACAATGAGCACTTACTGAGCGCCAGGCACTTCCCATACATTACTACATTTGAGATTCACCACCGCCCGGCAACACGGGTGCCTTATTATTGCCGACGTTTTGCAGATGGGGTCGGCGGGCTCAGAGAGGTCACCAGGCCAGTGAACAGCAGCACCCAGATTCAAGCCCAGCCTTGTCTGACCCCAAAACCCAGTTTGTCCCCCACCCCACCCCCTTACCATCACCCAGAGCCACCCACGTCCCTTCCCTTGTGATTGGCAGGGTCCCTCAAGAACTGACCCGCTGAAGATTGATATGAACTCTCAGTCCTGCCCCCCCCCACCCACCATGGGCAGGGTGCTAGGAACTGTTGGGCCCTGGCTTACACAACTTCCCTGGCTGGGGCAACAGGAATGGACCCTCCCCACCCTGGCTTCGGGCAAGATGCAGGGAGCTACGAAGGGAGCTTCTGTCTACAAAGTGTTGGCAGGGAGGCAGCCCAGCAGCCCCCACCCACAACGTGGCTGGGCCGGGCAGGACCACACTTGAAAGCATCCATGACCACATCTGACAGCTCCCTGTAGGGTGGGGCTCCTGGGCTCCAGTCTGGGTCAAGGTGGGCAAGCAGGGGCGGACAAGGGCCCTCCCTGGCTCCTGACCTCATCTCCACTTTACAGAGCTGGGGATGGGTGGGCCTGGGAGTGCCAGGGAGTGAAGGCCTGGGGCTCGCTAAAGCTGAAACCCTTGTGGGCCCGGGGGGGGGGGGGGGGGTGGCAGCCAGTTGCTCCCAAAGGAGACCCACTGGGCCCATGACACGACCCAGCAAGGGAGGTGGAACAGAAACAGGGGTTCCATCTGCTTTGCACCCTTGGCCCACAAAAGTCCCAGGAGCTCAGAGGTGACCAGAACAACCTCAGACTCATGCCCCAGCCCCTGCTCTTCCTAGATGGGAGGAGATGGAAAAGAAAGAAAGAAAGAAAAGAAAGAAAGAAAGAAAGAAAGAAAGAAAGAAAGAAAGAAAGAAAGAAAGAAAGAAAGAAAGGCATCCAGGAGCTCTCTCCTGAAGAGGAAACAGACACAGAGAAGGCATGAGATTTGTTGCTACCCTGAGCTCATCAAAGCGAGTGGCTGGAGTCTGGCTTCTAGTTTCTCAGGCATCTACAGGGCTCCCTGTAAAACTGGTCGGGGTTCAGCCTCAGCGCAGCCCTGGGAAAGGGGCATTAAGCAGAGTGGGCCTCCTAAAGAGCAGAAGTGGAGGACTCCAAGGTGGGAGCCTCACAAGGGTAAGAGCTAGGGCACTAGAGAGGCAAGAGGCTCACTGTGCTAGCGTCTCACAGGAGACAGTACGCCAGTCACTATATCTCTTTGAACTCCAGTTTCCTCATCTAAAAAGGAGGGATAGGGGCACCTGGGTGGCTGAGTCAGTTAAGCATCTGACTCTTGATCTCAGCTCAGGTCATGGTCTCATGGTTTGTGGGTTTGAGCCCCGAGTTGGGCTCTGCACTGACAGCATGGAGCCTGCTTGGGATTCTCTCTCTGCCCCTCCCCTGCTCTCAAAATAAATAATCATTAAAAAAATAAAAAGGAGGGATAATAGGGTATAAATCAGGAGAAAGAATGGAGGGGGGTCATGCCTATGAAAGCAGGAGATAGGGAATGTCAGGATTATGGCAGGAGCCTAGGTGCAGCACCCTCTCCCAGAGGTGGGAGGTGGGGGCCTGGATCTCACAGGTGATCAGACAGGAGGTAGGGGCCCAAGGGCAGGCCTCAGGCTCCAAGCAAGTTTGAGAGAAATGTACTGCCTAGCGCTCTCCCTCCCTTGGTCCTGTGGGAATCATAAACAAAAGGGACTTTGAGATAAGAATCTACAAAAAAGGAAACTGAGGTCTGGAGAAAGGAGGGGACTTGCCCCAAATCACAGTAAGTCAACAGCAAAGCCCAGGCTAAATTCAAAGTTACTGCCTTTCAAGTTCCCGGTCCAGGGCTCCTAGAGGAAAAATAAGATATATGGGGGGATTTGCAACAACTTTCCTCCTGCCCCCTGTCAGCAGTGGGTTTCCGACCTGGGTCACTGCCTCTGCAACAGAGAT